AAAGGCGGCTCCCTGCAGGTTTATGTGACCGTAAATTTGATCACATGAGCCAGCAGCTTCTGGGAAGGAAACGAGGAGCCACTCATCTTTGTGCCTGAGCTGGGTGCGGAGGTGTGCGCTTGTAATCCCAGCTACTCAGCAGGCTGAGTGGGAGGATCACTTGAAGCCGGGAGTTCAAGACCAACCTGAGCAACATAACAAGACCCCATCTCAAAAATACAACAATAATTATATTAATAAATAATTGATAATATTTAGTATTAACATAGTATTAATAGTTAATATGATTTACTATTAAGCCAAGATGACCCGTATAAACTAGGCAGCACCAGGCCGACCCAGACATCTGGTCGCCCTGCTTATCCTCTACTCACTACGAGCTCCCTGCAGGCAGAGACCCAGTGGTCTTCATCTCACAACCACCAGCCCCGCACCCCACCCCCTATCTTCCTCCTGCCTCTTCCCAGCGGAACCCTGGCCGAGAACCGTGGGGACTTCTCCTCCCAGGGCAGGGCCCCCCAGGAACTGCAGCCTGTCCGGAGCTGCGGAATGCTCTGAAACCGCGGAGATCGCAATTCGGCTCCCGCCCCCACGTCCCTGCAGATGCAGGAGCCCTTTAGAGACCCCAGGAGCCTACCGTGAGAGCTGAGCAGGTGGCGCCGGGCTGCCAGGTCTTCCTGCGGAGCAAAGGGGAGTCTGGTGTGGCCTGTGGTCAGCTCAATCCAGCCCCCCACGCTGATCAAAGTTCCAGGCAGTGGCTCCTCCCCTCACGTGGCCCGAACGTCCTGGGATGTCACTGGGGTCACAGGTCGGGAGAGAGGGCCTCGGCAAGGCCTCTGAAGATTGCAAAATGACCCTGAACTACACCCACCTACAGAGCCCAGGCGTGGCCAAAATCCCCCCCGAGGTTGCCCCTTCACACACACACCACACCCACACACACATGCACTCACCACACACACAGCATACACCCTCACTCACACATATACTTACCCACTCACACACACCACACCCACACACACATGCACTCACCACACACACAGCATACACCCTCACTCACACATATACATACCCACTCACACACACCACACCCACACACGCGCACTCACCACACACACAGCATACACCCTCACTCACACATATACATACCCACTCACACACACCACACCCACACACACATGCACTCACCACACATACAGCATACACCCTCACTCACACATATACATACCCACTCACACACACCACACCCACACACACATGCACTCACCACACACACAGCATACACCCTCACTCACACATATACATACCCACTCACACACACCACACCCACACACACATGCACTCACCACACACACAGCATACACCCTCACTCACACATATACATACTCACACACACCACACCCACACACACATGCACTCACCACACATACAGCATACACCCTCACTCACACATATACATACCCACTCACACACACCACACCCACACACACATGCACTCACCACACACACAGCATACACCCTCACTCACACATATACATACCCACTCACACACACCACACCCACACACACATGCACTCACCACACACACAGCATACACCCTCACTCACACATATACATACCCACTCACACACACCACACCCACACACGCGCACTCACCACACACACAGCATACACTCTCCTTCAGGACTCCAAGGCTAGAAATTCCACAGTCTGCTGAGGTGCTGAGGACTGAGATGGGGTCCTCGCTCACACCCCCGCCCCGGGAGCGGAGGCAGAGGGACTGGGGGCCTGCCTTCAGCCTCGGGCCCCTGCTCGGCTCTCAGCGACAGGAGACATTCCAAGAGGGCTGCGATTTGTAGTTTTGTCTTTTTTGTTTGTTGAATGAATGAACTTTCTAAACCCTTTCTGAGTTAGAAGGGGAAAAGTTGGGAGATGAATTCGGGCTCAGGATGGAGAGGAGCGCCCACACACTCAGGGCTGCCCAAGGACAGAAGACGCTGCTTTGGGAGGGAGGGACTTTCCCTTCTCTGGAGGTGTGGAGCCAGGGCTGCAGGACACGTGAAGTGTGTGTGTGGTGCGTGCGGGTGTGGTGTGTGTGTGAGTGGGTGTACGGGTGTGTGTGTGGTGTGAGTGGGTATGTAAATGTGTGAGTGAGCGTGTATGCTGTGTGTGGTGAGTGCATGTGTGTGTGTGTGGTGTGTGTGAGTGGGTGTAGGTGTGTGTGGTGTATGTTGTGTGTGTGGTATGAGTGTGTGAGAGCATGTGTGGTGAGTGGGTGTGGTAAATGGGTGTGGATGTGTGGTGATGTGTGGGTGTGTGATTAGTATGCGTGTGTGTGTGGGTGTGATGCATGTGTGTGGGTGTGACAACTGTGGGGAGGGTGTGGTGAGTGTGTGTGGGGTGTGTATGTGTGGTGTAGAGGGGTTGTATATGTTACTGTGTGTGTTTGAATGTGTGTGTTTGGGTGTATGTGCGAGTCCGTGTGTGTATGTGTGGTGTGTGGTGAGTATGGATAGCTGTGCGGGGATGAGTGTGTTGGGGTGTGAGTGGCTGTGTGAGTGTGCAGTGAGTGTGTCAGGTGTGTGAACGAGTGTGGTGTGTGGTGAGTGGGTAAGTGAATGTGTCAGGGTGTGTGGGGGTGTGGTGAGTGGGTGTGAGTGTGCAGTGAGTGTGAGTGTGTGGGTCTGTGGTGAGAGTGTAGGAGGTGTATATTTAAAGGAGTGCAGGGTGAAGGGGTGACCCAGATTAGCAATCCAAGATCGTCTCAATGCCGAGTCTACTATTTAAAGTAGGCTGATGGCCTTTTCTCTCACGGCGTGGCATTAATTTTTATTGCATGCTTTTATGAATGCAAATTAATGTTTTATTTGCTTGTGAGTCAGTTGCATCAGCCAAATTGCAAAGGCCTGATAGAGTGTGGTAAGGAAGTGTGTTTCAGTGGCGCTGTGCCGCAAATGCACTCTGGCAGAGGCGAGCAGAAGCCTCTTAGATGGAGAACGGTGGTGAACAAAGTGTGCCCAGCCCGAGGCTGGCAAGGGCAGGACAGTGGCTTGGAGAAGTGGCTTGTGTGAGGGCACTCACAAGCAGGTCCGGGAAGAGCCTGACGCTGCCCTGCACTTGCCAGGTTCTCGAGACGTCCACATTCACCTCCGTTTGCACATTGCTCAACATGGCCTGGTGAACAAGAGAAATTTGGCATTGGACAGATCTGAGTTTGAATTCTGACTCTTCAACTAGCTAGTCAGTCCTTAGATAAGTTAATCTCTACAAGTCTCTGCATTCTCACCTGGGGAATGGGTGTGGCAGAAGGTCTGGGGAGGTAGGAGAGAGAGAGAGACTTGTGTGCATGCCTGTGTGTGTGTGTGTGTGTGTGTGTGTGTGTGTGTGTGTTGCAAGACATCTGTGGAAGGGGACTTGCCTTAAAAATTCCAAAGATCAGCTGGGTGCGGTGACTCATACCTGTAATCCCAGCACTTTGGGAGGCTGAGACGGGCAGATCATGAGGTCAGGAGTTCGAGACCAGCCTGGCCAATATGGTGAAACCTTGTCTCTACTAAAAATACAAAAATTAGCCAGATGTGATGGCGCACACCTGTAGTCCCAGCTACCCAGGAGGCTGAGGCAGAAGAATCACTTGAACACAGGAGGTGGAGGTTGTAATGAGCCGAGATCGTACCACTGTGGTCCAGCCTGTGTGACAGAGCAAGACTCCATTAAAAAAAAAAAATTCCAAAGATCTTCTGAGAGAGAAGAGACAAAGATTCTAACTCCTTTCCCCGTTATCCAAAATTCCAGAAAGCTGTTTGAGTGTACTAAGGTTCAGTGTTTAGGGAAGGGCAACAAGGTCTGCCCCCCCATCAAAGGGGTCTAGCCCTGTAATATGGTGAACTTGACTGACCCCTGTCCAGCTTAATCTCCCGGGACAGGATTACACCTGGCAGAGGGGATCTAAAGTGCTAAAAGAGTCCAGGTAAATATGATTGGAAGCCCTTTTCCTGGGTATAATCGTGAGATAAAGAAATAGCAGATCATCCCTCTCTTAACTGCTGGACCTGCACCAGCAGCTGTGGCATCCCTGGGACCCAGAGACCTGGTTTCTGGGGACGCCTGGACACTTGGAGGGAGTCACCTTCATTGAGACAGTGTCTTCTGAGAGCCTGGGACTGCCTGAGCTGGTGTTAAATACTTATAGGAGTCCAGAAGTGTGCAAGATAGTCCTACCACCTGCCTGTGTGCACGTGTGTGTGTGTGTGCATACACACATGCGCTTCGAACAAATGCTGAGTGAATATCAGTGCCTTCCTGGTGGCATAAAAGAACCAGCCTGGGAGCCTGAAGGCCTGGGATGCTGGGCTAGTTGAGCCACTGGCTTACTGGGTGACTGCAGGAAATTCATTTCCTGTCTCCAGCTCGTTTTCCTCATCCACAATATGGGTTGAACTTAACCTTAAGGTCTGTTCCAGCTGCAGTGGTTTATAGATATTATTTGTTATTTCCTTTTTGGTCCTCATTCACTTTCTTTTCTTTTCTTTTCTTCTTTTCTTTTCTTTTCTTTTCTTTTCTTTTCTTTTTTTTTTTTTTCGAGACAGAGCCTTGCTCTGTTGCTCTGTCGCCCTGTCACCCAAGTTGGAGGGCAGTGGCACAATCTCGGCTCACTGCAACCTCTGCCTCCTGGGTTCAAGTGATTCTCCTGCCTCGGCCTCCTGACTGGCTGAGATTACAGGCACATGCTAATTTTTTTATTTTTAGTAGACATGGGGTTTCACCATGTTGGCCAGGCTGGTCGTGAACTCCTGACCTCAGGTGATCCACCCACCTCGGTCTCCCAACGTGCTGGGATTACAGGCGTGAGCCACCTTGCCTAGCCTCCCACTCGCTTTCCAAAGTCCTGTTCTCAGCCCAGAATCTGCTTTCTGTACCTTGACAAGCAGGGCAAGAGCAGAATCCACAGGTGTGAGACCCCCTCACCAAGACATCCATAGAGAGCACACACGGCCTGCGTATACCATTTATTGTTGATTCTGTACACCAAATTATGAAAAGCAGCATCCAGCAGAAGACAGACCCCTAACCCTGCCCACCAGGGCTCACAATCTACAAAACCCTGAGGCTCTAGACATCTCTAAATGCATTGCCAAGCACTGGGGATGATTTGCATAATTCTCTAAGCAAGGCAGACACAATCTGCTTTTGAAGGCAGCGTGAAGGCAGTGAGTTGGTGAGAACGATCTCTCCTTAGAAGAAACCTCAGGCGGAAGAAGTTTTACCTGGAAGTGGCTTGCCAGCCTACCCTCTCTGAACCACAGCAATGGCTTCCTTCCCAAGGCCACCACTCCCTCCCCAGCAATCCAGATTCAGCTCTGACTGTAGCATCTGGGGGCTGAATCTTTGAGTGCTTTATAGCTAAAGGCTAGGATACATCTAACATCTGTCAACTAACTCTGGTTCCCGAATTATCTCTAGCTACCTGCTCTCTGTAAGCTTCCTGAGTATGGAAGTTCCTTCCCAACAGTGCTACATCAGCATCCGAAAGGTTGTGGAAAGGGTGTCGATGAAAAGTTCTAAGAACTCTTGGATCTCTACATTCTAAGGAGGAAGAACAATATACATACAGCCTAATTCCCATGAGAGGGACCAGCTATTCTATTCTTTAAGGGATGGATGAGTGTAATCTTTTCCTGCAGATACAAAGCTTTTGATCGAAATGGTACCAAGTGAGATTCCAATGACCAAGACGAAGGAGACCAACAGGGGAGTGGCTTCCATTTGCTTTGGTTTAATGGTGAAAGCTCAAGACAAGCCATGAGTTCTTATACAAAGTTTGAAGAGATAAATAAAACTCCCAGCATATGGAATACCATGCAGAAGAACGAGTGGCTCTGTACCCCACCACCCGCGGGTAGAGCTGGCACTCATGCCACGGCACAGGGGTGCCGTGAGGGTCAGAGGAGAATCCACATCCAGTGCTTTGAGGAGTATCTGCGCACAGTGAGCGCTTTTTAAAAATAGTGGTTCTAACTGGCTTTTTTCCCACACTGACTCATGGCTCCCACTCCAGATGGGCGTGAGACTGTCAAGGAGGGGAAGAGTGCACTCTGTTCCCTACTCCAGCTTTTTGGGGGATCAGCTGAGAATTGAGCAAATGCATCATCCTGTTGGAAAAGAGACTCCACCCAGCTTTTCTAGGAGCTCCCCAGGCAGACAACATGGTGCGGAGAGGTTGAAGGGCCCGCAGAGGAAAAGGAGGCCCGATGGCTCTATCCAGCCACCCTAATGGGAGAAAGGAAGAGGCAAGAGGTTCACAATAAAGGGGCCCCCAGCCCTCACCTAGGGTGCTCCTGGGTGGCGTCATCTGAGGTCAGCAGCCCTCAGGTCAGCCTCTGGGCTGGAGAGGAAGATACTCCAATGTCATGGCTACTGACAGGAATACCCAGGGGTTCTGGGCTAAGATTGGCAGGGCCCACAGGTAAGGAGCCTCCCCAACTCTCTCCAGCCCTGGCCCACTTGTGCCTATGCACAAAGGCAGCTGGAGCCCATTCACAGGAGCACCCAGCAGGTCTGGAGACAAGGAACATGGGAAAACCCATGCTTCCTGTCGAGGGGAACAGGCCAAGCTGCCCCTGTTAGCCCCAGGCCCACGTAGGCCACCATCAGCAAGTGATGCTCACGCGCCAGGCCCTGGACTCACTTCCTGTTGGCCCTGGCAACCCTTGGTGCAGGTCCTCCAGGTGCTACCCATAGTTGGGAAATGCCTTGGAGACCCAGATTTGCCTTGGGGAGATGATATCTCTTGACTCTAACAGGCTGATCTCTCCTAGATTCCCTGGGGCAGGGAGTGAAAGGTACAGAGTGCACTAGTGTTTGCAAACGTCCCTGTGGACACTTTCTGTGCAGGAACTGGAAGGGAAACCTGGACAGCACTGTGCTGCTGTGACCCTGGGGGATGTCACAGGTGTCTTGTGGAGCAGGGGAACTAATAAGAACCGATCAGGATTGGTGGTGGATTTCCAAATCCCGGCAGAGTCAGCGGAAGTTCTTTCCTGGGCAGACCTGGAGACCCTAAAGTCTCCATTTCACCATTTTTACTTCTAAACTGGTGGGTCAGCTGTCCAGAGAAAGACACACGTTGATGTGAGCACAACTTCTTGAGTGGCACGTGAATATGTGTGTAGCGGGAAGATGGGAGAAGGCAGGCATTCGTGTGGCTGTGACTCGATGAGAATAACCCTGGAGCAAACAACTCAGCTCCTAACAGATCACATGCAGGAGGAGCTCCAGGGAGCCCTGAGACCCAGTGTGACCTGTTGGTGTACCCCGGTGTTGCCTGCTGTGAGATTCTGAAGTTTAGCTGCTAGCTGACTGTGATGTTGATGAATTATTTTACCACATTAGAAAGATGCTGGGTTCCATTACACTTGGTTTTCAATTAAAGGATCTCATCTCTGAGCTATTTCACTTCCCCTAAGTGAAGAATGAAAATTAAAAACAGATACAGGCATAACATGCCCATAAAAGGCTCCAGGCGGAGGGGCCTCCAATGAGCTGCATGCAGACAGCTTGCTGGCAGAGAAGGGGGCGTGGCTGCACAGGACTCTGCTGTCAGGATGCTTTTGACCTGGCCAGCCAGGGTGCTGCGGTCTCAGGATCTCCAGATTTAATAAAATCTCAGATTCAGGCCCGAGTCTCTCATCCTGTCCACACCCACATATTCCCTTCCACCCCTGGGCACTGGGCTTTTATGCAGGCTGGCTGTAGGAGGGGGCATCCTGGCTCATGGGAAGCAGGTCCTAGGTTAGTCCATCTCCAGAAGCCCCCATCTCCTCTGGGAAAAGCCCGGGATGGGGGATATTTGTGGTGCTCTGTGTCTTGGTCTGGATGCTGATTACACAGGTGTGTTCAGTTTGTGACAGTTCACCAAGCCGCACACGATCATGTTCCCACTTTTCTGTACATATACTTCAATTACAAATGTAAAAAAGAAAACTCCAGGGGTGAACACCAGAACCCCCAGGCACCAGATTTCTTTCTCTAATCAGTACCAATAAGCTGATTTTAATGTTTTTAGAAGTCCGAAATCCAACATGATTTTATTCCTTAAAGGGCTAAACTTTTCAAAGCAAAGTTTGTAGTTCGGAAAGATCCTTCTCTAAAAGACTGAAGTTGCTGTGCTGGGGTCTTTCCTCCTTTTCCACATAAAAATCACAGGAGAGATGCTGATGACAGCCCTGTCTCCAGGAACTGAGTGGCATGACTCTCCTCTCTTCCAGAGCGTCCTCAAAGCCAGGCTGCTTGGCGGCTCTTAAGAAACCAGTTAAGTGGTTTGGAGTCTTCTTTGAGGAGAGAACTCACCCTGCCTTCAGGAGCAGAAAATCAAGCGGATAAATTTTATTTGAGGGGCGTGCTGGGTCAAGCCATAGCACAAACAAGAGGAAGAAAAGAAGGGAAATCAACTCACATAATACTTAGAGGAGAGGGGCTATTTTGGCGGAGAACTATTCCCACGAAGTGAGCAGGCTGTGGACTGAGTCTACAGAAGCCAGGAAGGGGCCTGGGCACAGGGAAGGTGGTTCTTGGAGGACAGGTGGGGAGGATTTGGAGGAGGAGTCCTCTTGAAGGAAGCCAAGGGGTGTGAATCAGAAATCCCCAGGGCTTTGGCCATGGCCCGTTGGATATTCCTGATTGTAGGAGGGTCCGGCACGACATGATTCTCTACGGGAGAATCAGGAAGAGGTAGGCACACCTTTCTCTAGGGTCAGAAAGAGTAATCACGGGAAAGCTCCATAGACCCAGCAGCGGAGGCAGAAAGATGAAATTCCCAGGTCCTCCAGTTCCATCATTCCCAGCCCTGCTCCAGCCTGCCTCTTTAACACTCATTGGGTGCCTTCATCTGCATCAGGACCGCTTGGCTTCTCTTCTTGCAGCAGCAGCAGCCGATGCAGGCAGCCAGGGAGCAGGCCAGGGCGACAATGCCAATGACAATAGCGGCAATGGCCAGCCCGCTCTGGGCCTGGGTCATGCCCCAAACGCTGCGGTCATCAGTGGCCTGAATGGTAGTCAGATCAGTGTAGTCTTCTACAGAGCTGGTTAACTCAGTGGCAGAAGAGATGGATGTGGTGTCAGGGTAACTGGATGTGTCTGGGTACCATGGCGTTTCTGGGTAACTAGGCACCTCGGGGACATGGACACTGGGAATAGCAACATTGACATTGATGATAATGAGGGATTGGCCTCGGACATTGGCTGGACTGAAACACACAGGTAGAGTGTCCGTCCCTAACCTAGGCTGGTTGAGCAGGAGCCAGTTGCGGAGTGGAAGGATGTCTGAGTCACACCTCCAGGGATTGTCGTACAGCCGCAGCTCACACAGTTTCCCCAAGTGATCGAAGATGCCGAGGGGCAAGTTCTCCAGCTCGTTGTTCTGCAGCTGGATGGTCATGAGGCCATTGACGTTGGCGAAGATATTCCCTGGGAGCTGTCTCAGGCGGTTGTTCTGCAGGGAGATGTTCTGCAGGTTGGCCAACATGCGGAAGACATTCCCGTCCAGGTCCTGCAGCGCGTTGGTGTGGAGGGACAGCTCTCGAAGCTCCGTGAGCCCATTGAAGGCACCCGGGGAGATGAAACTGATCTGGTTGCGGCTAAGGATCAGGACCTGCAACTGGTGGAGGTTGCTGAAGACATTGTCAGGTAGAGAAGTGATGTGGTTATCATAGAGCCAAAGCTCCCGCAGGTTGGGCATGGGCCCGAAGATCCCCGGAGAGAGCTCCTTCAGGGAATTGCCAAAGAGAGTAAGGCGGTTGAGCTGGGGCAGCTGCATGAAGATGCTCGGCGGCAGCTGGGAGATGTGGTTGTTGGACAGATAGAGCCTCTGGAGGTTGTGGTTGTTGTGGAAGAGACCAGGAGAGAGCAGCCCAATCTGGTTCTGCTGCAGAGCCAGCTCCTGGAGGTTGACAAGCCCGTCGAAAGTGCCCATGGGGATATCCGTGAGCCTGTTCTCATAGAGCCGGAGGACCTCCAGGTTGCCCAGGTGCTGGAAGACCCGGGGTGAGATGTGGGTGAGGCTATTCTTGCCCAGATTGAGCTTCGTGAGTCCCACCAGTGGGTCGAAGACTCCGTCGGGGATGTATTCCAGGTGGTTGCCATGCAGCTGCAGCTCCTTGAGGTTGCTGCACTGGGAGAAATGTGCCGGCTGGATCTGCACCAGCTGGTTACTGGACAGAAGCAGTGACTCAAGGCTGTCCAGGCCCTGGAAGAGACCGATGGGCAGAACCCTAAGCTTGTTGTTGGCGAGGCTGAGATAGCGCAGGGAGCCCAGGTTTCGGAAGGCACTGGGCATGATGCGTGACAGCTCATTCTTCTCAATCCTCAGAGCAATGAGGGCTGAGATGTTGAGGAACGGGGACTCATTGAGTTCGGTGATGTGCGTATTGAGAATCTGCAGGCTCATGGCATTCCAGGGCAGAGGGGTGGGCACAGCTACAATGCGTGCCCCAGTGCACTCCACCTGGGAGGCTCTGGAGCAGGTACACTCACTAGGGCAGCCATAGTAGGCCAGCCCTATACCCCAGGCATGGCAGCCCACCAGCAAAAGGAGATAATGCTTCAGTGACATGGCCTCTGCAAAGGGAGAGAGCACACGTTAGTCAGGGTCCCCTAGCTGACACTGGCACATTTTAAGCCAACATCAACTTGCAGTGCCAACACTGGCTTGGCTTTGAATCTCATCATCACATGCTGAACTCATGCTCCCTGTGCTCTGGCCAGCAAGCCTCTGTGCCCTAGCCCCTGCCTTTCTACTTCCATGCCTTTGCTCAGGCAATTCTCCCTACCTGGAATGCTCCTTGTCCTTATACAATTTTTTCCCATGCTTCCAAGTCCAGCTCCAGTGCACTTACCTTTAGGACACTTCCCAGATTCCATGAGTTAGGATCAGTTACCCTTCCATGAAGTGGTCTTCCCAGTCTCCATCATTGGACATGCCATGGTGGTCTTGTATGGCATTCAGTGTGTCCCTGTCTGTCTCCTTCCCCAGCCAATAAGCTTTCCAAAGACAGGGAGTTCATCTTTCAACCATACAGATTCCTTAGGGCAGGAACTGTATCTTATCCATCTCTGTATCCCTCATATCATCTGAATGTGCTGGTACTGAGTATCAGCTTGGCCAAGAGACCCCCACCTAGGCAGCTTTGAAGGTAATGTAGAGTGGGTCTATCCAGGGGGCCAACAGTCTTCTGAGCTGAGAGCCTCAGGGGCTGATAGCATTCCAGGCTGAAGGCCCCCGGCAGATTCTAATCCATGTAGTTATCCTCTCTGCACAGGTGATTATTATTAACTAACAGGTGTTCTGTACTTTCCCATAACTAAAAAAATATACCAAGTAGGCAGCTGTTACCTGCTCACCACTGATTACAGAAAAACTAAAAGGTATTCTCCATGAGGGAGCCCTAGATGCAGGATAAACTTAATATTTCTCAACATGCTAGTTAAACACAGCCTTGTCAGGAGAAACACGGAGATAATGAGAACAAATAAATAGGGCTGAACCTGGGGGAAGATGATGAGGCCACAAACATGGTGGCCTGCTGGGAGGCACAGTAGCAGTGGCAGAGTTAGGACCACAGAGTTAGGATGTGCCCAAAAGACGAAACGTGGCAGTGGAAGCAGCTCTTCCTCGTCCTCTCCTGGTCCTGCCCAGCCCATCACCACCAACCATCACTTAGCCCTTTGTTAACCCTTTCACGTGTGCTTCCTCTAGGTTTCATTCAAACCACCCTTCCAGTAAGAGGAAGTGACATGTCTCCACCATGTCCTGCCTTGCTGGGAGAGGATGCTATGGCTTAGCCAATGCTTGGAGCCAGCCTTGTGGGTATAAGTCCTGGTTTCCACAAGAAACATTGGGTGAATTCTTCAGTGAGTTGCAGAAAACCAATGAGATGTACTTTGAGCTAAAATGTGGTAGGTCAGGCATGGTGATGAGCTGGCAGTGGGGCCAGATGCAGGGAAATGTCGGTGTTTGAAATTACTGATGACAATGACATATATAAATGTGTGTGGTGTGTGTGTGTGTGTGTGTGTGTGTGTGTGTGTGTAATGTAGAGATATGGGACATAGGTGCTGGTCTCTATATGAATATTTAAGGACCACTGACAGTTTCACCTTGAATGAAGTTTGAAGCCTCCAAGCTTCAGCTCCCTCGTCTGTGAAGAGGGGATGGTGACTCCTGCCCCGCTCTTGGGCTGTTGTGAGGAGTGAATGTCTGGGGAAGGGATGCGAGGCCATCCCCAGCAGTGCTGTACAAACACGGGCCATTGTTCCATGCTTATCCACAGCATGGACCCTACAGACTCCTGAAGTCAGGGGGGCCTCAAAATGCTTCTTGTCTTGGCATTGTTAGTCACAGGACTAAAGATTTCTGTGTATACGTGAGAGTAGCTCCAACTTCCACCAAAGGTTCAAAGGGCTCTGAACACCTGGAAAATTCAGCCATCACTGCTGGCCACGCATTCCCATCACTTTGTGGGGATACAAGAAGCAAGGAAAGGCTTCCGAGCTTAAAGCCCAGGTCTCCAGACCCCTAGGGAGGTACTTCGAGTGTTAATGCTGTGTCACCCTTTCGATGAGCAAAAATCCTGAGTCAGAGGAAGGAATTTCAAATGATGGCATAGAAGGCATCAACGGCTGGGCGAAGAGGGTATTTCTCTGGTCTCTCTTTGTGGCCCTGAACTCATGGGGTCCAGAGCCAGACCCACATCTCAGAATAACCCAGGCTTCCCACTTTGGCCTCAGCCCCACATACCCCTTCCCTGCACCCCAACAAGCTTACTCTGAGATAAAAACCCAAGCCCATTCCCCAACCACACAGACCATGATGTTTCACTTGTTCACAGCCCGTGCAAGCCCCGACTTGTTATACTTTGCATTAAGAACTTGACTAAGTATATAGAACAATAAAAAACAGAAAGGAAAAAGAATACATGGGCCAGAGGCATCTAGATGCAAAGGAATGGGGCCAGATTATGCTAGGGACACATCTAAAAAAAATTAACTTATAGAGAAATGTCAGGTCCAGAACCTGAAAACAGAAAGTGAGCTGCCTAAACAGACTGCACAGAAAAAGGGGCTCAATATTCACCCTAGGAGAAGACTTAGGGCTTTTCACTAACGATGACAAAGAAAGAAAGCTGCCCACAAAAGCTGGTGTGGTCTGAGACTGAATTAATAGCAGTATCACATGTGGAAAAAAGGAGGTGATGGTCTCATCCTACACTTTCCTGACGTGGCCACACTTGCAGTGCTGGGCTCAGTTCCACTCTGACTTCAAGAAGGCTAATGACAAACTGGCCTCCTGAGGAGTTTTAGAGGATGGCAAGGGAGTCTAGGAAGCAGAACATCTGAGCAACCATGGAAGAAACTGTGCCAGCATCCTAAGACATGGTGAGAACAAAATTAAATTAAAATTATGGAGCTGTAGATGAATAAATAACCAGATGAAGAGATGCTGTGAAGAGTCTGCGATCACCTTCCTAGCATCTCTGAATGGCTGTTGTGGCATGCAGAAAGCAGCCTAGCTCAGTGTGGCTCCAGAGGTCAGACGAGTGCAGAAGTTACAGAGTGGCGGATTTCAGTTCATCACCGGAGACAGCCCATCCAGAGTCAAAATGGGCAAACTCACAGAGGGAGTAAGCTCCCTGTCACTGGAAGCAATCAAGCAGAGTCTAAAGCAACCACTTGGTAAGCAAGCTCTAGAGAAGATTCCTGCACCTGGGAGGGTATTGGACTGGAAGACAACTGGTATACTGTCCATTCCTAAGATCTTAGGATTCTAAGGCTGAGTTCCAAGGCGTGAATACACCCTCTGTTCACCAAGACAACAGTGCCTGTGCTCTTAGGGGTCTGTGTGGACAGGTGTGGGTATTTGCCCGTCTCTTTGGTGTAAGGGTATGTGAGATATTTACTGCCTGGGCTGACATACAAAAGGTGGAGCTTGAAATTGCTCCCGGAGACAAGCTAGCTGGCGCTCATATTTAATGTACGCTCACACACCCAGCGTGCTTCAAAATGATGTCACAGCCCAAGTGTCAGAGACTAAATTAAGTACCCGTCATCTTGCCAGCCAGGGCAATCTTGAGTTTCCCCATCTATAACTGACAGTGTAGAATGAGGCACCCTCTACTCATCTTTATGTGGCTTTCTCTGAGTCTGGGCTCCCCAGCTGGGGAGGGACATCAAGCCAGCCCAGGGAAAGGTGCCTCTTGGCCTGGGAGGAGTGCAGAGATCATTCCCTGTGGGAACGGGGCCACCCCTGTCTAAAATGGATCACACTCAGCACAACAAATATTGCAAGAGTTTGCAGATTTTCCTCTTGATGATCCTCACATCTGGTTGGGCGTGGTGGTTCACACCTGTAATCCCAGCACTTTGGGAGTCTGAGGCAGGTGGATCATAAGGTCAGGAGTTCAAGACCATCCTGGCCAACATGGTGAAACCCTGTCTCTACTAAAAATACAAACAAATTAGCCAGGTGTAGTGGCACATGCCTGTAGTCCCAGCTACTCGGGAAGCTGAAGCGGTAGAATTGCTTAAACCCAAGAGGCAGAGATTGCAGTGAGCCAAGACCATGTCATTCCACTCCAGCCTAGGCAACAGAGTGGGACTCCATCTCAAAAAAAAAAAAGGCCGGGCGTGGTGGCTCATACCTGTAATCCCAGCCCTTTGGGAGGTCGAGGCAGGCGGATCATGAGGTCAAGAGACCAAGACCATCCTGGCCAACACAGTGAAACCCTGTCTCTACTAAAAAATGCAAAAAAATTAGCTGGGTGTGGTGGCATGCTCCTGTAATCCCAGCTACTTGGGAAGATGAGGCAGGAGAATCACTAGAACCTGAGAGGTGGAGATTGCAAAGAGCTGAGATCTCGCCACTTCACTGCAGCCTGGGGACAGAGTGAGATTCCGTCTCAAAAAAAAAAAAAACAAACAACTCTCACATCTGCAAAGCTGACCCCAGCACCACATACTGTAGTTTCCTGTTTTCCAGCACTCTTGACTGCTGTGGCTGGCATCCACTGCTCCACAGGACCTCCAAAGAGCCCACCGCAAAACCAGCTGCAAAGTCCTCAGGGGAGAGAGGGGCCGCAGAACCAGGGCTGACAGCTGGGCCCGTGGATTTTCAGCACGTGATGCTGGCTCTCGAAGTGGCCACAGCCTCTAGAAGCCCAGCACATGGAAGCCTGATAGCCCACGCTACCTGGTGCCGCTTGGCAGCTGTGACAGGTGGCAGTTAAAGGGCCACAAAACTGCCCTAATTATAACTTCTCCCAGGCAGCCGAGAGCGTCCTCAATCACTTCAGTGACTCAGTCCAGCCCCTGTCCAGCTCCTGGGAAGGGGGGATCGCCTGGCGTCATCACTGGCCCATGAAGTTGGCAAGCAGAGCAGACAATCCGAAGGACAGCCTGACAGCTCACCTGGGCTCCGACGCAGTCCCTCCCTGTAAGCCGAAGCTCACCAGCCAGGGCGCTCCAGCTTCGGGCCTCAGCAGAAGCACCATGACTCACGACCAAACGCATAATTAGCCTCGAAGCCCTGGGCTTTGTTGGTTGGTGAGTTGGGACGTTGTTGGTTTAATACCATCGTTCACATTCCCTGAACACGAGATTCCCCGAAAGGAAACTCCTTTTTTTGAGATGGAGTCTCACTCTGTTGCCCAGGCTGGAGTGCAATGGCGCAATCTTGGTTCACTGCAACCTCTGCCTCCCAGACTCAAGCTATTCTCCTGCCTCAGCCTCCTAAGTAGCTGGAATTACAGGCACACACCACCGTACCCAGCTGATTTTTGTATTTTTAGTAAAGACTATGTTGCCTAGGCTGGTCTTGAACTCCTTACCTCAAGTCATCCACCCACCTCGGCCTCCCAAAGTGCTGGAATTACAGGCATAAGCCACCGCGCCCAGCTGACTCCTTATTTTAATGCCACAGAGCAAAACTTTCGGACAGATCCTGGAAGACCAAATCAATGTTCTATTCTGGTTAACTCTAAGTTGAAGTGTGAGCTTAAGTACATTCTCCAGTCCTCAAGTTCCCCTTCATTAAAGACTTCCAAGGGCCCTGGGAGCTCTGCTACCTTCTGATGTGAGGCAGGAAGGAAATTTGGCCTGAAGCCCCTCATTCTCCTTATCTTCTCTTCCCCGGTGTATGTGCCAGTTCTCCAGCAGGGGCGCCCAGCCTGGCTCCGGCTTCATGCGGAGGCCTGAGGAACTCATGCCCATCTTTTCAGGCCCACCTGCCTCCAAGTTTCCCAGCCAGGGCAATCCCACTTGATAGTCAGCACATCCACACAATAGCCACTCCATGGAACCCAGGGGCTGGGAGGGGCCTCTGGGAGCCTCTGGTCCTTCCCCCTCCCAATGTACCTGGGGAAACTGAGACCCAGAGAGGGACTGTCTCTCCCTGGCCTCTGCCATCTCCCCACAGAGCGCTGCCCAGTCATGGCCTTGAATGCAGAGAAATGTCACCCAACCAGCCTGAGGGCTTCCAAAGAAGATGCCAGGCTGGGAGCTACCAGGGGCTGTCCCCACTACCCACACCCGGTGCTGTCCTCAAGCATGCGCTCACTGGGGCTCAGGCCAGTGGGTCTGCCAGAGAGGCTTGGCCTGAAGCTCAGGCCTCGGTGCCTCCAGACCTCCCCATCTCACCAAACATCCCCTCTCCTGGAGCAGCACATAAAATCGCCTAGCTTGTTTAATAGAACTGATCTCATAGCGTTGCTGCTGTGAGGATTACATGAGTTAATGCATGGGAAACACTTAGGTGAGTTCTTGGCACAAAGTGAGGACCCAATAAATGTTAGTGACGATTGTTATTTTTGTTGTTGGGTAAAAGATCTCTGGAGACTCCACCCACAGAGATCCTGATCCCTAGATCCCGCTGGGGCCCAGGATTCTGCATGTTTTACAAACTTCCCAAGTGACTCCAATGCAGGAGTCCACAGAACGTGCTCAGAGACACCACGTGAATCCACAGAACACGCTCAGAGACACCACGTGAGTCCACAGAACACGCTCAGAGACACCACGTGAGTCCACAGAACACGCTCAGAGACACCACGTGAGTCCACAGAACACACTCAGAGACACCACGTGAATCCACAGAACACAGTCAGAGATACCACGTGAGGTCTAGACCAGCTGAGAACCCAGGCTTGGACTGACCGCTGAGAATAAGAGAACCCCAAAGGGGGGAGGTCACAGGTCCTGCCACAGGCCTGGCCCCATCTCTTTATCAGTATTTCTCTCAGTGGCCACTTCTGCATCCCCATCAGGAACTGTGGTTTGTGCTGACTTGAACCCGGCAATAGAAGCTGCTTCCAGAAACGGAACTTATAGCCTGGAGCATCAGAGGTGCCAGGGCTTTCTGAGAGCATCTAGTCAAACATCTGCTCATTTCGTAATTGGGAAAGCTGAGGGGTCCCCAGGGAGGAGGGAAGTTGCCCAAGGTCACACAGTCCATTGGAAACTCCTGATACCTGATCACGGCCCCTAACCACGGAGCTTGGTGAACCCCTGAACCTCATCACCAGGATTCGGGACCTTGCCAACCACATGCCTGGCAAGGCCTGGGATTGGGGAGGAGGTGGCTTTGCACCCTCCAGCTTAAATCAGCTGAGGCTCACACAATTCACCTTCCCCTTGCACAACATGATTCACCAAGGACAAGTGCTTCTCCCAACTACCAGGCTGCTGAGTTCAAGGCTTTCTTCTTTAAGGCTGCTATGATACAGGTGTTGGTTCAATTTCACCCAAGTCTCCTGGAGGACTGTAGGGAAGGGACAGAGGGTTCACCAGAAGGGGTTGACCCCTGTAATCTCAGCAACAAGCTGGAGATGGAATCAGGGCTGGAGAAGGATTTGTGTGGAAGGGTGTGTGGATTTGAAATTGGCACAGCTGCACCTTTACATGTGTCTCTGCTCAAATGTAGAGACAGGACCTGCGGCCAAGGTCATAGGCCCCTGATTTGGGAATACTCTATCCCAAACAGAAAGCATCCTTGAACTCCAAGACAAGACTGGCCACACCCTCATCCTCCATCTTGATCAAGTGGTGACCCCCATTTCTCATGGCCCATCTCTCATGGCCCTTCAAAGCCAAAATGTAGTTCCTTGTCTTAAAAAAAGAAAATCAGTTAAAAAGCACAATTCCTTTCCAGCCCTTCTGTTGAGGAGCCTCCCAGGTTTGACTTCCTGCAGAGGCCAGAGCAGGGCTGTCCTTAGCCTGGCAAGGGTAGCAGGAGAAACTGACAAACCGCCCAGCAGAACAGGGAGAACTGCCCCAAACGGGCTTTGATGAGTGCAGCCACAGTCTACAAACAGCCCTTTTCTCAGGCTGGCACGTGGGGGCCCAAAGTAGACAGAAATGGATCAGCCCCCAGTCAAAGCATCTGGAAGCAGTTTCTCATTTCTGAGTCCCAGTGCCAAGAGAGGCCGTGAAATCTGAAGCGGCAGTGACTGTTTCGTGGTCAGGATTTAGGGCAGCAAATTGCCATGTGTGATCACAGTCTGCTTACTGGCAGGGCTGAGTCGGGACAGCTTCTCTACCATCTCTTCTCATTTCTCCATAGCTGATCCACTTCCAGTCTTGCCTCGCCACCCCCTCCATTTACCGAGCAAGCCAAGGTAGCGTTCCCGAGCCCTGGGAAGAACCTTCCATGCCCTGACTTTCTGCAGAATCTATCCAGAACTTGCCCCTGGTCCCAACCCCCCTCACAAGCCTGCCTCATCACTGCTGACCCCGCCCAGCTGACTCAAGACCACAGGCAAATTGGCCTGTCTGGCCCTGAATTTACCCCAGATGTTCAATCTATGCAGAATGAAGGAAGTGCCAGCAGTTAGACAACTTCTAAATTAAGGAGCCAGTGGTAACAACGCATCTGAGAGCTGCCCGAGATAAAGTGATGTATCCCAGATAACCCCAGAGGAGAGGCTGGCGCATGGCAGACAGGCACTCGGCACCTGTGGCGGCAGCACACGTGTCGTCCCAGAAAGAGTGCAGCTGCACCGAGGTGACGCATTGGACCCTGGAGGTGGAATGGCCCTTGCACTTTGGCAGGGGTGGGAGACGCCAGAAAGTTCTGGTGTCCCACAGTTGGTTTCTTGGCCCCAGGTCCTGCCTCTACCTTTGAACGGAGACACAAGTCAAGGCACGGCCATCACAATTTCAAATCCACACACCCCTCATCACAAATCCGTCTCCAGCCCTGACTCCCTGCTCAAAGCTTCCAGGCTCCATGGAGGCCCACACTTCCAGTGGGAGAGAAGTGAAACTCCAGCATAGTGTCCCTTAAGCCACCTGGTTAGGGCATGAACAATGCTAAGCCTACGTCTGAATTCCACGTTGGAACTGCAACCAGGGACCAGCACATCTGCTTGCAGCGAAGATAGCTCTCTTGCCTGGGCAACCTCCATGAAGGAAGGTCTTGGACAGACCCAAATGCAGGGCAGACCACTGGTGGCCACCATGGTCAGTGCTAGGAAAGATAGCACAGGCTCAAATAATCTGAAAAAAGAAAAGTTCTTCCCCCAGTGGGTCTAGATTCCAGGAAGGTGAATCCAGGGACAAGAGGGGTAACAACAGAGTTTACTTTCAGCCCATCATGCTGGTCTCAGCCATCTCAGCAGCCCAGGTTGATATCACGAGGTGGTAAGGGCAAGGGCCATAAGAGGCTGTTGAGGCATCAGCAGAGGGGCTGGTGGTCCTGGTGTCCAGGCAGGGAGGGAGACCGGCTTGCACCCCTCCAGCGCAGGCTTCTCCTAGCCCTGTCCCGAGAGCATCCCAGGCACACATCAGCCCTGTTTTTCTGGGGTCTCCCAAGGGAGCAGTTTCAGCAGATATGGGAGGGGGATGGCTGGGGCCCTCTAAGCAGGGAGGAGGGAGTGGGGTGGCTCACCTACTTACCAGCAGCTCGGCACCCGCTGGGGACAAGAGGGAGCCTGAGAGGAGGAGGAGGGAGGGCTCAAGGCTGCAGCATGAGTGTGGCTCGCCTGGGCTGTCCCAGTATTTAAACTATCCCAGGCATGAGTCACTGCAAAAGGCAGTGTCAGCCCTGTGAGGGGGGCCTGTGGGCCACAGTGCAGCATCTGGATGTCCCAGGCTGGCATTACGGACACACACAGCTGGCATCCCTAAGTGTACGGGTTTGCTTCAGCCATGTTTAAAAACTCAGGACGCCTTTTCCCCTTTCCTTCTTTCCCCTGGTGTTTCTTTTGGATCCCTTCACTGCATCGGCCACTGTGAGAGGGGAGTTTATAAGGACCCCACGACCCCTCCCTAAGTTACTGTGGACCCCTGCTGCCCAAGGAGACAAGGACCCCCGAGACGGGGTGGGGACAGGACTCGGGGCACTTCTTTGCTCCTGAAAGTATTGGCAAGTGCTTCTCCCTGTGGCTCTAGAAAACTCATTCATTCTTCTCTTTCTTTTTCATTTTAAAGTTTTTATTTGGCAACGGCTTTAAATGTACAGACAATTAACGTGATTCACCTGTTGTAACATTGTGGAAGAAGCATATATTTTAGATTCTAAGGAAAAATATAATTACGACTACCGTGTCACCCCTAAAAACAGAGTTTCCGATTTCCTTGTGACACTGGGATCTATGCCATTACTGGTGCTCTGAGAGATGCAGTTACACATGTCTGTGGCCTGGGGATGGGCAGTTGAGGGGCATATTTGGGCATGAGGAGCTTCCCTATGCCCCTCACCTCTGCATTCTAGCCCACACCCTGCAGCCCTGCCTGCCCCCTTCCCCAGGGGTGACGAAAGTGTTTCTATTTGTGATGTTCCCAAAAGGGCCTGGGGAAAGGATACAGGAGTCGTAGTTAGAGGGGTGGGGAGACTTCCAAACCCTGGCTTCTCCTCTGAGATGGAGCCTCAACAAGGCCTTAGCTGCCACAGGCTGAAGCCATTCTGCCCTTCCCTGGCTCGGTTTACCCTCTCAGCCAAGTGGGGAGAGTGATATTTACACACAGTGCCTCATGGAGTGCCAAGAGGCTTAATTAATATTTGCGCTGTGCTTTGAGAGCTTCTATGAAAGGATGATATAAAAGTGCACAGTGTTATTACTGAAATAGTTGCTTGGGTGGCTTGCCATGGTCAAGGCCCGCAGCCTGAATCATGCCACATTATTCCTCACCGTGGCACCGTGATTCAGAGCCAGAAACAAAAAGTGTCTTGTCCATCAGATAACAGGAGCCCAGGAGGGGCAGGCACTGTTTGGAGTGGCCCCACACAGCTCCCAGCCCCATCCTGTCACCCATCAGCCTTGCTCCCACGTGGAATTTTTGGAACCCAAAGATCATGAGGTCAGGAGATTGAGACCATCCTGGCTAATATGGTGAAACCCTGTCTCTATTAAATATACAAAAAATTATCTGGGCATGGTGGCACATGCCTTTAGTCCTAGCTAATTGGAAGACTGAGGCAGGAGAATTGCTTGAACTCAGAATCTTTGACACCAAAGATTCCACATGGAGAACACCTTCCCTCTTACTGCCCTCGTCCCCCGATGTCCCCAAATCAGGGTCTTTATCTTTCTTGCCATAGAACCTGCAAGAATGAAACTATCCCCTTTACTTCTTCCATCCTCCCTAATCCTGGCACCCAGCCGCTCTGTGTCAGGAAGTGTGCTGGGAGTGCTGGACAGCACAGGGGTGAATCGGCTGCATTTAAAGATGGATATTTGTGAAGCACCTGCTGTGAACCAGAGAACCCTTGGGTACCTCACTGCAGCTCTCCATCATTTCACCTCCGCCAGCTTTCTCCACCTCACCACGTGACATTGGGAGGCAGATAATTCTTCATTGCGGGAGTGGTTCTGTGCAGATTTGAAGACATTTGGAGGCAGATAATTCTTCGTTGCAAGAGCAGTTCTGTGCACTGCAGTAGGCACAATGGCATACCTGGCCTCTGCCCTCTAGATGCCAGTAGCGTCCCCCGATCCAAAAGTTACAAACAAAATGTCTCTAGACACTGCCAAATGTCCCCAGGAAAGGAGAGTTTACACACACACACACACACACACACACACACTCATGGTTAAGAACTACTGATCTGCCAAATAGTCCTATGAGGGCAGTAATTACCCCCCTTTCATAGACAGGAAACGTGAGGCTCAGGCCAGTTAACTAATTTCCCCACAGCCATAGGCTAAGTGACAGAGCCAGAGTCTAAAGCCCAGTGCATGGGCTCCACGCTAACTGCACACCATTGGATCCTGTGCTCAGGCACACAACTACCATGGACTGAAGTTTAGACTGGCGCAGAGCGGGGTTAGGGAGAGGATGGGAGGAGTGAGGTCACTGACAGACCCTTCCTCAGGGCAAGCTTGAGAATGTGGGAGCATTTCAAGGGATGGGGCTGGGGTGTCATGCAGCAGGTGGCCTTAAAAGATGAGCAGGCTCGGTCGGGCGCGGTGGCTCATGCCCATAATCCCAGCACTTTGGGAGGACGAGGCAGGCAATCATGAGGTCAAGAGATCAAGACCATCCTGGCTGACAAGGTGAAACCCATCTCTACTAAAAATACAAAAAATTAACCAAGCATGGTGGCGCACACCTATAGTCCCAGCTACTTGGGAGGCTGAGGTGGGAGAATCACTTTAACCTGGGAGGTAGAGGTTACAGTGAGCAAAGATTGTGCCACTGCACTCCAGCCTGGGAGACAAATAACACTCTGTCTCAAAAAAAAAAAAAAGAAAGAAAGAAAAGAAAAGAAAAAGAGATGAGCAGACTCTGGAAGGTGAGGAGAGGGATAAAAGAAAATCATCCCATTAGAGAGAGCAGGAGAGAGAATGTGGGCCTCACTGAGGACCGTGATGCTCCCTGAAGAGTGAGGTCCTCTGTAGGCAGTAAGGAGCCCCCAGAAGTGTTGGAGGAGGGAGGGCCCATGCTGTAGGAAACGTGCTCTGGCGGGGTGTCCAGGTTTCACAGAGGATTCTGTCTGCCCTCATGACAGCACGTGGGTTTCCACACAGTAACCAGGGCATGCAGGAAGGACCAGTTCCCCAGGCTGGGGGTGCCACAGAGGTCTGGCTGTAGGACTCTGGGCTTCCGCACAGTGAGACCCTCTCTTCCCCAGAGAAGCATGCCTTCTCCTACAGAGGAAGCAAGGCAGCACCGCTCAGCCCCCAGAACAGCTGCTGCAGTCCACTAATGAGGGACGAGACACCTATCATTAGTGAAAGTAAAAGCCTGATTTACTACCCGCAGGCCCTGTAACCCCAGGGCTCACTTTCCAGCCCCCCGGGAGAACCAGAAGAGCCAGGGTTGCCCCAGGGCTTCAGGGAACTCTGCTGTCTACCGCCCACGAAGGTGTCTATTCTAGTTAACAAGCACAGAATCCGTCACTGGAGGCCGTGGGACCCAGCCTCCCTTCGGTGGGGGAAACCCCTCGGCAGCACCCTGGCGTTTGATCCCTGCTCAGTTCACATCAGGGATGGGGATGTTGTGACCACACCATTATACCCCTGGTAGAGTGGCAGAATAAAAAAGATGGAGAGGCCGGGTGCAGTGGCTCATGCCTGTAATCCCAGAACTTTGAGAGGCCGAGGCGGGTGGCTCACAAGGTCAGGAGATTGAGACCATTCTGGCTAGCACAGTGAAACTCTGTCTTTACTAAAAATACAAAAAAATTAGAGGGGCCTGGTGGTGGGCTCCTGTAGTCCCAGCTACTTGGGAGGCTGAGGCAGAAGAATTGCATGAACTTGGGAGATGGAGGTTGCAGTGAGACGAGATCGAGCCACTGCACCCCAGAGTGGGCAACAGAGTGAGCCTCTATCTCAAAAAAAAAAAAAGATAGAGAATGCCTAGGGTGGGTAAGGATGACGGTGGTCTCACGCTCTGTTGTTGGGAATATAAACTGGTAGAGCAATAGCTATCGGAATTCAAAAAGCTAGGCATGGTGGCTCACACCTGTCATCCCACTGACTGGGGAGGCTAGGCGGGAGGATCCCTTGAGGCCAGGAGTTTGAGATCAGCCTGGACAACATAGTAAGACCTCATCTCTACAAAAAAAAAAAAAAAGAAGAAAGAAAGAAAGAAACTCAAAACGTATAAACCCCCACATACACAGACACGATGGCCATACATTCAAGCATGCTCCCAGCAGCATGGATGGTAACAGCAGATCAATTGCGAACAACTCAGATGTCTGCAAGACAGTGACTGTGCAGACCATGAAAATCCATTCCAAACAGCCAGTTTTGAAAGATGAGACAGATAGGTCTTTTTGGTTTTGGTTTTTTGGTTTTTTTTTTTGAGACAGAGTCTTGCTCTGCCACCAGGCTAAAGTGCGGTGGCATGATCTTGGCTCACTGCAATCTCCACCTCCCAGGTTCAAGACTTTTTCCTGCCTCAGCCTCCAGAGTAGCTGGGTTTACAGGTGCACACCACCACACCCCGCTAATTTTTGTATTTTTAGTAGAGACAGGGTTTCACCATGTTGGCCAGAATGGTCTTGATCTCCTGACCTTGTGATCTGCTTGCCTCAGCCTCCCAAAGTGCTGGGATTACAGGAGTGGGCCACCATGCCCCGCTTGAGAAAGATACATCTTTATTTGCAGAAGAAAAATGTATCTAATGTATTGAGCAAAAAAAGCAAGCCGCAGATTAATATAAATAATACAATTGCACTTACCGGTTTAAGAAAAAAAAGACATAAATGTATAACTCCTCGGTTATACCTCAACATGTGGGAAAGAGTTAAGAAAACGATCTATTTGTCAGTCGTGATCACACAAAAAGCCAGAAGATGGCACGAAACATCAATTTTCCCACTGAATGGCCCTCAGTGTTCACAGAGTTGGCCTCGGATGGGCATCCAGGGCTCTGGTCTCCGCCTGGTTCCCTCCCACCTCTGCTGTCTGGCCGGGTGCCCTTCCATCTGCTCTGCCCTCATGGCAGAAAAGGTCCCAAAGGGCAGCCAGTGGTCCCCAGCTCATTCTCAGGGTCCTGGCTGTTCTCTGAAGGAGGAATTTTAGGCTGGTCCTCAGA